CCCTTTAGATAGTAAGACTGCAGAGAATTGTTTTGCTCAGTTGCAGGTAGGCTGGTCTGGGAGTCTTTTTGGCTGAAGACTCCAATTTAAGTGCTCTAAACAAATACCTTGTTAAGTGAAGGATCCTTCAGAAGTACAACTGGCTCCCCCTTCAGACTTCGCTGGTTGGGACACAGCCAGATGAGCAGGCACAATGTCAGGAGTGGTGCCCCACTCACTGCAAGCAGATTAAGGTTTTGAACATGGAATAACTCTCAGAAGGCACTGCAATATTGTGTGTGTGTCTCAGGGAAAAGAAACTCAATTTAACATCCTACTGGGACATCTTAGGTAACTTCCTCTCATTTCCAGGCCTCCAGTTATTGAGTATTTAATATTTACATTGCAATCACGAAGAGGACAATATTCTTTAAAACCTCTATTTATATGCAAGTGCAATTAGCTTTCATACGCTCTTTTTTAATAAAAATAATAAGAATAACTTCAGCAGCCCTGCCTTGGATATCCTTTGCTTCATTTCACATACTTAATATTCACAACAGGAAGCACAGTAGTAGTTTTAAAAATTAAAAAACAACAACAGGTGCCATCGTGGTGCAGATGAAGAGGGGAGCAGGAGCCAGTGGGGTGTTCATGGATGCAGAAAAACAAACCTAGGCATTGCTCTCAAAAGATTTCCAGCCTAAGGGGGAGATTAGCAGATTACAGAGCCTCTGTTGCACATTAAAGAGAGATGGTTTGAATTGTGTATGGGCTTAAAGCAGTCTTCCCCAACCAACCTCCCTCCCTGGCCATTGCGACAGTATCTGGAGGGCCCCAGGGTTCTCCAGCCTTGCTCAATCCAGATCAGCCTTCAGTGCCTGCCAGATCTTTTGGACTACTGCCTCTATCCGCCCCAGCCGGCACAAGCATCTGGAGGGTGCCTGGTTGCCTAAAGAATGAAGTATGTGAGGTTTCAGAGGTAGAACACAGCTATTGCGGCTAGTAGCCATCAATAGCCCTCCCCTCCTCCATGAATTTGTCTCATCCTCTTTCAAAGCATCCCAGTCGGAGGTCATCACTATATCTTGTGGGAGTGAACGTCATCATTCAACAATGCTTTTTAATTACTCCTGGATTAAAACCCAGAAGCAGGCTTTCAAAGGACACAGCACAACAAAAGAAAACAACAGCAATCAACCTAACAAAGAAGAGTGGAAGGAAGTTTGCAATGTCTGGGGCGACGTACCCCAGTGGCAGTCAGGGGTATAAATATACTGAGCTAAGAGTGTGTCTGCTGAAGAGAAGAGCACTAACCTTCAAAGGGGGGAGTGGTTCTGAACACAAGAGCCACACTGCATTCTCCAAAAGCACTTGGGAACACGTGGAAGTTTAGACATGGATCTGCACAGAAAGGTATCTCTGTCCCAAGGGGAAAAGCACATGTGTTCTGTTGCAGTTAGATATCACAATCATGCAGCCCACTGGAGAATGTTATTATCAGATCCTGGGGTGAAGAAGAGGTCCCTGGGTAGACAGGCAGCAACACCAATGGGGCAGCAAACAAAGCAGTATCCAGGGCCCATCCAAGATCAAAGTCCAAGTAAGCAGAGTCCAGGTTAGTGTCAAAGTCAGAGCAGTCCATGGTTGGGTTGTGCACAGAAGTGATACAGAGACTTTGTTCCAACAACTCTTCTATTTCTGCCCTGGGGTTTTTGATGTGGAGCTACTAAAGCCACACCCCAACTCCTGTCAGCTCCCTTCTCTCCAGAGGTCTCCTTGAGGAAGGCCCTACTCCCAATGAGTCCTTACCTGTAGTTGGGCATTCCTCTGGCTAGGCTGAGTTCCCATCCACCCTTCCCTTGGGCTTGGGACCAATTCTGCTTTGATGAATGAATCTTTATTTGCGTCAGCCATAGGCCACAGCAAAGAAAACTGCAATATACACAGAACAGAAATAAAAAGGTGATTATATAAAACACAGTTTAGAGTCCTGAATCAGCAGTCAAGTGGTGGATCTTATTCTGATTGCCCCAGCTAAAAGCCTTGCAACCTTTGCTGCCACCTGCTCATCTTGATCTGCCAAGAGAAAGGACACTGTGGCAGTGGTTGGGCGACCCAGAATGGACAATAAAAGAGGGGTGATAATCTCATTCCTCGAGTGCAAGCCAGAAGGGCACGCGCCACCGATTCGGTACTGCCATCTCCACAGGGACATAAGCGTTTTTCGTGTGGAATCTGTTGGAATCATACCTCAAGTATAATACATTCAATCTTGCAAGAGTAAAAGCGCGTCTATATTTTGGAATTGCTAGGTTATGCAGATAGGATGCCAGAGAATCAAAATGGGAAGGCATGCCTTTCTCTGATGTCATTACAGATAAGGAGTGAGCTGTACATAGCAAATAAGCAAAGGGGAAATGGCTGCTGAGCTGCACCCACCATTGTGAGGCCTGAGGACATGATGATGATGATGCCTCTCCAGCTGCTGTTATTGGCTGTGGACGCCCTGTGATGTCACAAATGCACATGGTAGCTCAGTGGATATACAAAAGCGGCCCAAGGGGAAAGCCCAAGGCAAAGCTTAAAAAGGACACAGTGGACAACAGTTGTGTTATTCAGTACTTGGTGATCTCCTTCCGCATGGAGGCGAAGTGCCAAATGGAAGGAGGCCATCATCCGTCAATGAGATGCTGTGGAGCAACGAGAAGGCAAGTGTACCTTCTGAGCAGGACCGCGGCTTGAAAGCGGCAGATATCCATGGTTGGAAGCTGGTGATGGACCTGGCAGAAGCTGTGATTAGCATGTGGAAGCCCGGGGTGCCGCAGGGCTGAAGGAGGCTGAAGTTTGTGCACATAAGCTGATTGAAATTGACCTTCAGAAGGCCATTGACAAAAGCTGTGTGGATATTTGTGGGCTGATGCTGGAGTAAGTATGGATGGAGAGTGGACATAGGTCCCGTACCAGACAAGTGGTATAGGCTGCCCTTCAGGCTCTGGGCGAATTAACCACTGGATATTCATGGGTGGGAGCCAGCGGAGCCAGTGGACATGTTTGTTTCTGCATATATTTTTTAATACTAATTATGTAAAATATATTAGTTTGCTGGCAGTTGTGCAGAGCATTTTGCACGAATAAATGTCAACCCGTACTGGTTATTGGAGCTGCATTTGATAAAACAGCTATGAAATTGTTTTTAGAAGATTTAAGCAAAGATCTGAGAGTTTCCTTTCTCGCTTTGGAATTTTGCTGAGCTTTTAGATGTGCATTGTTTTATGTAGCTTTGATTCTGCTTCGATGTCTGAGGCTGAACTCACCCTGGGTGCAGTTGGCCCCTACTTAGCCACGTTGCAGGATCCCAGCTTCTCACTTGCAGATGGAGCCTTAACCAAGGTAAGGGCAGAGCCTCCTGGACTCCCACTCCCCAGCTGAGACCTGGCAGGAGGCAGCAGCTAGTTCTGAAAGTGGTTGCACAAGAAAGGCTATGATCCATCACAGACTTACCTGGGAGTAACCCTCAATGAGCACAAGGGGACTTACTTTGGACCAGTCTTGCTCTGTACTAACCTCTATGTGTAACCTAGATGGGCTATTGGTCTGATCCAGCAGCCAGACTTATTATGTTCTTACATAGAAAAGAAGGTAGGACTTTCTCATAATACTGTGGAGGAACCATCCAAAGAAGCTGAATGTTGGAAGGTTCAGGGCAGGAAAAAGTAAGTATTTCTTCACATGATGCATAGCTAAACTCTGGAACTCCCTCCCACAGGATGCAATGAAGACCACCAGCTTGAATGGCTTTAAAAGAGTGTTAGGCAAAGTAATGGAAGGTGAGACTATCAGCTAACCATGATGGCTATGTTCTGCTATCACTCTAAGAGGCAGTATGCCTCTACATGCCAGTGTCTGGGAATCACAGGTGGGCAGAGAGCTCTCATGATCAGGTCCTCCTTGCAAGCTTCCTACTACGGCATCTGGTTGGCTACTGAGAGATCAGGATGCTGGACCAGAGAGGCTTTTGTTCTGATGCAGGTTCTTGTCATGAGTTTGATTGCTTCTCGCAACTCAGCAAGATATGCATGCCCTCAAAGTGTCCCGGTTTTCCCGGGACCATTGCGGACTTATGAAAGCCATCCCAGCTTCTGATTTGATCCCACACTGTCCCTATTTCTCCCCCCAGTGATGCCTCTGCTGAACTCGGGAGGAGGTGGTGACGACTGTGAGGGAGCACCCTCTTGCCTCTCCATGGCCACTGCTGCCAGCCTCCTCCCTTGGGCAGCTTGTAGAGGTGAAGAGGATGAGAGGCTGCGGCCACTGAGGCCCAGCCCCATGTGAGGGCCAGCTCTGAGGAGCAGAGAGAGGGCAGGGCCACTCTGGGGTGGGAGGAAACGGGGAGTGGAGCAGAGCACAAGGAGTTTTGATTTTTTATATTTTTTAAAATGCTTTGTGCATCTGATCTTGCCCTTTTCTAAAATTTATTTGTCGGTGTGTGTTTTCCTTTTTGTAAACCTACTGAAGAATACAATGAAATGAGGGTAAGGGGTTTTTCTCAGGATGGTGAAGGGCGTGTGTGCTGTGTCCCGTTAGTGTAGTAGCGGTGGCTCTTGCCCTTCTTCTGATAGAAAATGCTTCTGATAGAAAATGGGGGTTGAGGGGGGTCAGTTGGGGGTAAGAGAGAAATGTCCCTATTTTCATCTGAGCAATATTGGAGGGCATGGCTATTCAAACTCTTTCCAACTTCAGATGTATTTTAGGAGAGGCTAAGTAAAATAAAACGATTACATGTCTCCCTCTGTTGTTGTTTTCCCTTCTTTCAATTCAAAATGTGCCCCTGGACTTGTCTTTCCTCCGGATCACTAGTCTTCACCCACGGAGAGGCTGGTGCTGACTATCCACCAAAGTGCCATTGGCTTCCCGGGTGGATTTGACTGCCTGCGTCACTCAGGCACAGCTCAGGGAGGGCTTTATAAAAAGCAGGTGCCGCATCCCGCTCTTGAGGACAAGACTAGGGAACAGCTCTGTACCTCTCAGCCTTAGAACCAAGGAGCTTCTGGGGGAACCTCCGCCATGCAGCTGGTGGCCAGGCTCATCGCTGTTCTGCTGCTGGTGTGGAGCATGAGAGCATCTGCCTTGCCCGGGGAGGATAAGTTTTCTGTACAGAGCAGCAGGGTGAGTTGAAAAGGGACATCTTTCCTTTAAAATTCTAGGGGTTTGTGCAGAAGGCTTTTAAGGTTTCTGGTGCTTTAAAAGATGGGTAAAGCCGCCTGGTGGAGGAGAGGAGACTGTGCACAAGAGGGAGGCTTTTGGAGGGGATGGAAAGGGGAGTACGAACAGATGTAAATAATGGGGAGATCTGAGGAATAAAGAAAGTGAGCAAAAGGGGAATAAGTAAAATACCGAAGAAGAGTTTTTTCCAAGGTTGCTGTCTTCTTTTCTTGAGTAAATAATACCAAACTCAAACTAAGGACTAGCATCAGAATGCAGAGAGAACGAAATATTTTGCAGTGCAACCCCGGGATCCTGCCTGGCTCAATTAGCAAGACTTATTCCCAGGTAAGTGGAGGCTGGATTGCAGGCTAAGGGAAGGAAGGAGAAGAGAAGAAACAGAAAGAAGGAGAGGGAAGGAGAGTGGGTCCATCAAAGCAAGAGAGAGGAGAGAAGGGCTTTTAGTTAAATGCATGCCTCTTGTTTAGAAAGGATGTCAGCAGTGGCAAAACAGTCCTCTGGGGTGGTGCTGCAGCTGAGTGGTAGAGCATCTTCTTCACAAACAGGAGTTCCCAGGTGCAATCTCCAGCATCTCCAGGAAGGGCTGGGAATATCCCCTGCCTGAAATCCTGGATAACTTCTGCCAGTCAGTGTAGACAATACTGAACTAGACAGACCAAAGGTCTGATTCAAGATAAGGCAGTGTTCTCCTAATGACTACTGTTTGTTTGCTCCTTTTCCTGATTGAAATCCAACAGGTGTGGTTCCCCCCCAATTTTTTTTAGAGAGGTGGGGACTACACCTGTTACATTTCTCCCTGTGGTTAAATGCACCACTGGGAAGTATGTGGGCAGGAGGGGGTACGCAGTACAGTCCTAAACATGTCAACTTGAATGTCCTATTGAAATCAATAGAGCTTGCTCTCAGGTGTTTGAGATTGCAACTATAATTTACAAAGGCACAAAGGGCTAAAATAAAAATTGACTCACGTATGCTGAGGGTAGTGATATTAGCTTACTGTTGTGTGCCAGGGAATGAGCTAAGCTATTACTATCTCCAATTTTAAATGCCTTTTCGCGCTGTCACGCTGCGCAATTTAGCTCTGTCTCTTATGAACTAGCATCTTTATTTGATCAGGGAGATTAAAACTACTAGGCAGTGAAGCCTGCATTCCATTTCCCTTCCACCACACATGCATTCTTTGCTGAGCATAAGTCTATGAATCCTTAACAGCAGGGTGAAATGCAGAAACCCCATCTATGTAGCTTCCTGGGGACATTGCCTGTGTCGAATCCCTGTCTGCTGTGCTGTTCTGAAATTTTATTTATGTTTATAAAAAGCCATTTGCATGTTTCTTCTCAGTCCGGAAAAGCAGCCCCCACAAAAGTGGCTCAAGAGAGGTGGGGGAATGGATATATTCTATAGGATAAAACCAGGAACAGGATAAAACAAGCAAAACATGAATATCAGACACAAACTTCAAAGGAAGCTAAAAGTGAGGGGGGGTGAAGTCTTGGGGAAGGGCTGTATCTCAGTGGTTAGAGCAGAACTTTTCAAACTAGATTAGCTGCTTTACATGAAGAAGGGCCCCAGCATTGATCCCTGGCATCACCAGGTAGGACTGGCCCCATACCTGAAATTGCTTGAGAGCTGCTGCCAGTCAGTGCAGACAATACTGAGCTAGGCAGGCCAAGGATCTCGCTTGGTATAAGGCAGCACCCTATGTTTCTGTGTCTTCAGGGAAGGGCCATAGCTCATGCTTTGCATGCAGAAGGTCCCAGGTTAAACCTGTGGCATCTCCAGGTATATCCTCTGCCTGGAGAGATGCTGCCATTCAGTGCAGGCAGTACTGAGCTAGATGGACCAACAACCTGATGCAGTATTGCAAAAGGCTGCAGTTCAATGGCAGAGCACCTAGCTTGCATTAAGAAGGTTTCAGATTCTACCCTGGCACCTCCAGTTAAAAAATATCAGGTAGAAGGAGAAATGATAATCCGGTTGATGCCAATTATGATAATATATTTCAATCCCACCTTCCTTCCAAGTAGCCATACCTGGTTCGTCTCCCCACCCCATTTCATCCTCACAACAAGGTGGGTTAGCCTGAGAGAAGACAGGTACCTAGTGAGCTTCATGGGCAAGTGGAGATTTGAACCCAGGTCGCCCAGGTCCTAGTCCAGCACTCAAACCACTACACCACACTGGCTCTCAGCCTTTGTATGACCTGGCTGACCTTTCTGAGAGCTGGGTGCTAGACTGGGATGGATCTTTGGTCTGATCCAGCAGCCAGGCGCTTCTTACGTTCTCCATGTATTTTATTTCCCACAGTGACTCTCTGTTTTTAAAACCCCTTTACACTCTCCAGCAAGGCGGCAGGGACTCACTTTCCTGCTTTCTCTTTGCCCTCTGCTTGCTACTGCTACTGCTTGCTTTGTGATTGCAGGAGCAAACCAAAGCCCGAAAAGGTCTGATCCTGAAAATGCTGGCAGATCTACTGGACGGGGTGGACGTGAGCCGTGATGGGACGGCTTCCTCCGACGCGGAAGACCTGCTGGAAAGCAACCTGGAGGAAGAGCCCTCTGTGTTGGGGAGGTTACCCCAGCTCACCCAGAGGGATCGCAAAGCCCCCTGTAAAAACTTCTTCTGGAAAACATTCACTGCCTGCTAATACCACCAGCACCAAGCACTCATTCCCCAGCCTTCCCCTTGTATTTGCTCGTGGATCGGGGGGGGGGGGCTCCGACTCTTCTCTCGCTGTGTAGGGTTGCCAACTTGGTGGCAGGGGTGGGTGGGGATTAATAGGCCTGGCCTGCTCCCGTCTCTTTAACAGAAGTTTGATCTGCAGCTCTTCCTCCTCCTCCCTAGTCCCTCTTTCCTTTTGTGCTATGTATTTAAAACTTTAAGCCTGAGGGCAGGGATTGTCTTGTTTCAATTAGTTCTATGAAAGCTGTTCTTGGAAGACTTCTTGGCTGGACAATGGGGTACAAACGCTCTAAAAAAACCCCAATGATAATAAATTGTGTCCAACATTAACTCCACTCAGAGTAGATCTGATTTGCACTTTCCAAAACAATGTGTGACCCGAAACACAGTCGTCTTTCAAAATTCGCACTTCCCTGAATTTTGGAAATGCAGTTCTCCAGCCAAGAATTCTTGCAAATATGTTATATCGGGGCAAAGTGTGCATTTAAAAAATGTATTGTGTTACTGAAAAAAGCATATAAAAACACTATAAAAATATTAGGGGCAATTCCTTTGCAAAATGCTTATATCAGGCAAAACCATGTACAAAAAAATGTGTATATCAGAAGAAATTTGCACCCAAATGCTGTTGAATGTTCACGGAGAGTTGTAGTGTGCTCACCATAAACTAATGTGGCAAATGAAACACAAGAAAAATAAGAAACAGTGAGAAACTGAAATTGACAATTTCACCCATTCCTCAGGCTAAAATTATTATTTGGTTGTAATTACGGTAATCATGCAACCCATGGACTGTAGGCCCCTAGCCATAGAAACGTAAGGGAAAGTAATGCATTTGCAGAAATTGTTTCCCTCCACTGAATGAAGAAAGAAACCTTTCTGGCTGCTGATGTCCCATCAGAGCTGCCAACTTTGTTACCAAACTATGCTCCTCTGCCTTTAACCATTGTTTGATGTGCAGGCATTGGCATATAGCACTGCTTATCTCCGTGCTGCAAAAAGCTTTCACCCGCTGCTTTCTGCAAATCAACAGGTGCTGTTAAAGGCATAGGAGCATTCCAGATTATTTTCCCCCATGAGTTGGCAACCTTATCTTCTACACAGCTCCTCAATTCCCACATCTGGGATAAATCACTGGACTAGGGGTATTCAGGATTTGTGGGCTGCAGTCAACTTTTACTTAGAGTAGACCCACTGGAATGTAAAAGCATGACTAAAGCCACATTCACATATTTGAAGCACTATGCTACCACTTTAAGCAGTCATGGCTTCCCACAAAGAATTCCGGGAGCTGTAGTTTGTTAAGGGTCCTGGGAGTTGTTAGGAGACCCCTATTCCCCTTTCGGATCTACAATTCCTAGAGTGGTTTAACAATCATGAGGGAACTCTGCAAATTGCAGCTCTGGGAGGGGAAGAGGGGTCTCCTAACAACCCTCAATTCCCTTAACAAACTACAGCTCCCAAGATTCTTTCAGGGAAGCCAACGACTGTTTAAAGTGTTACGATACTGTTATGATATGAAGGTGGCCTAATTTAGGTCCATGCATTTCAGTAAGTGTACACCAAACAAAACTTAAAGACTTCCCACTGTTTTTAATAGAAATCCACAGATGAGTGTGTGTACTTTTGTGACAGAGACTGAAATGGATTTCTTTTATCTGGCATGGAGCAGAATGAGGGTTGTTGCTGGGGGACTTTGCAACACAGAGCAGAAAATAACCGACCACATGTCAGTCTCTGCAGATCAAACAGGGCTGTTGAAAGGGACATGGAAACAAGGGAGCAGTTGAGACAATGGCTCTGCCCCCACATTGTGCATCATCTCTGGCCTCACTAAATTACAAAAAACAAAAAAAACCCTCAACCAGCCATTGTTTTTAAAAGCATCTGTCCATCTTGTGGGGTTTCTTTTGCTCTCTCTCTCTTTTTTAAGAAATAAAAAATCTTCATCCAATGTTTCAAACTTTTGGTTTCATGATGGTTCCATCCACAAATAAAGCATGACCAATGGGCGCCTTGGGAATATGACCTGATATTTGTTTTTCCCTTTTTTTCCTTACTACCGCGGCACGTCCTTCGTAAGCCTGCTTCCCGACTTGGATTCCGGACAGATCAAAATGCACAGAGTAAAATGATAACGTTTGCTCCCGTGAGAGGGAGCAATGGCCGCCACCTTGGATGGCTTTAAAAGATGCGACAAATTAATGGAGGAGGGAAAGGCTCTGGCTATGCTCTACTGTCCAAGGCAGTTGGCCTCCATTTGTCTCACCAGACAATGGAGTACGCTTCTGCATTAGCAGCACCAAAGTGTCCTTCCTGGGGTGCAAGCCTGGGCAGTGTGTATGAAGGTCTTGGGCTGCCCAGACAACAAGACCCCCTCTCAGCCTCAATGATGTAGTCCAAAGGAAAGCAGAGCAGCACATTTGGCACCAGCTTGGCTGCAGGACTTGCTGGGAGGAGTCATCTTAGGGACTCCACTCCAGATTTGTGAAGGTTTATGCGTTAGCCTTTTCTTCTCCCGAAGATATCCCTCAAGGCAGTAGAGGTTTAGGATCAGTTGTCCTTCTCCTATTAGGGCTTTCTTCCCAGGTTGATGAGCCCCATCTGCCCCCCACTTCCCTCTACAGCATGTGCAGAAACCACCTACTTGACTGTTGGACCCACTATTGGTGTGATGGCCTGGGATTCGGACTTGGAGGCTGAACCTGAGGAATCCCAGCCTGCACAGGGTTCCCCGCCTCCAGAACCAGCTGAGCCGGGGCTGGGGCATGAGCCCGAAGGGTCCTCACCTGTGCTGGATCCTCAGGTGCAGGCACCAGCTGAGTCTGCTCTGGCTCCTGAGGTGATGGAGGACCCATTGCCTGCAGGTGCTCCACTCTCAGCCCCGTCAGAGGAAGCTGAGGTTGCCTCTGGGTCCGGTAACCCTCCAGCCTCTCCTGGGCTGCAGAGGCTTAGGGCAGAGAGGTGGAGGGAACTAAGTTCCCTCAGGAGAAGTGCTCGCCTCCAGGCCAGGAGAGGCAAGTCATCTGAAGATCATGGCTGCCCTGTGCCTCGGGGCAGATAAAAGCCAGCCAGCACCAGTCCCGGGTTGTGGAAGCAACATTGTTGGTCGCCAGTTCCTGCCTGAACTGCCCTGCACCCAGCCTCAGCTTTTATGGACTGCTTCCATATTGCTCCTTCAACCTCGGACTGGACTAGGACCTCGTCTCTCAATCTGCCCACGGGACCAGCACAATTGGCATTGTCTGCTCAATTCTCCAGAGACTGTCTTTACATGCAAGGGAAGTCCCTAACTCAGTGAGTGTTTGAGACCCATCAGATACCCCTCACCTGGTTTAGCTGGTCATTCAAAGCCATTCCCAGAGTGTGGCCATTGTCACAAGCTGACAGCTTCTTGGAGCCATAGGTGAGTGAGAGCTGAGTGCAGGGTGAGGACCTAAAGTAAACAAACTACCCCAGAAGGAGCACAATGCGTCCCCCACCAGAGGTACTATCCCTCCCCTAACATCCCATACTGCCCATAGCCTCTGAATACCAGTCGTAGGGAGCTGTTGCACTTATGTGCTGCTTTCAGGCTTCCCAGAAGAAGCAGCTGGTTGACCACTGTGAAAATAGACTGCTGGAACCGGCAGCCAAGCTCTTCTTATGTTCTTAAGTTGGCTGGCTTTTCCAAGCCTCTCCAGACAGAAGGCTGAAAGAGATTGCTCATCCTCCCCCATGCTTGGGAGAAGGGCCTTCCCAGGTAGCTACCAGAAATAAATGGACCCTCCTTAGCCATAGGCAGCCCACCTCCAAATTCCAGTTGTTGGGAATCACAAGTATAGTGTTATTGTGACAAAGGTTCATCTTTTCCAACATCTGGGTTGCAGCTGCAAAGAGCTGCAAAAATACGTAGTGTGGGGACTTTCAAAGCATATCCTGAGAACTAGGAAGAGGGAGGGCTCTTTGATTACAGCAATGGCTGGAATAACTTCTGGCCCTCCTGATGTTGCAAAACCCTGACCATGCTGGCTGGGGTTAATGGGAACTGTAAAGGGTGTGCTTATTTCACAAGCATTTCAGCTCCAATTATCACTGACTGTAATTTCTGTATCCCATTGCCATTCAGCTCCCACCTGAGTTTGCAATCAAAGTGAACGATACTGATGCCAACAAAGGAAACACACAGAATGTTAATTCACTGTGGACAATGAACCAGCAGCTACAGACAAAGGACATTACACACACACACACAGCAGCGGCAGCATCCCCACCACTTTTGCCTTGTCCCTATCACGGTTGCCTAAAAACCTAACAGAGAAACCAGTGCCAGGATGGAAACGCTCTCCAGCAGCCTCCTCCCGAGAGGCAGAAAAACCGCACAGCCAGAATCTCCAGCAGTCAACGAGGCATCAAAAAAGCAGCCTGACAACCAGCAAAGTGCCAATGAGAAATGTGCCCTTTGCAAAGGAAGACGGGTGGTGTGTGTGAGGGGAGGTGGTCACATTAGTAGGAATTGCTCATCAGCCTAGGGTGAAGTCAGGAGCCTTGCAGCCAACGCAGATGACACTAAAGGTGACAGAAGCCTTGTACTGATACACTCCTCCCTCTGCCCAGCGCTGGGCCATAGGGCTTTTGCATAGTCAGTTTCATGTGAAGAGAAAATGCCGGAGTTTTGTTTTTTTTTAATGTGCACTTCCAAGTTACTTTCATCTTCTTTCTTTTTTAATATATTTTTTTATTGTGTTTTACAATTTAACAATCAACCAAACAACATGTGACACTTGTGGATCGAGGGCCCGACCCCCGCTATGTGAAATAAATACACAAGGACACGTGATATAAGGTTAATGGGCAAGGAAAGGCCACAACTTTATTGATTACAGCAGTGAAAAGGTATTGGCTTAGGCATTGGATGACTATAGGAGGTGGGTTTATTCAACAGTAGGTGGAGCCTGTTGATGCCAATCCAACTATAGGCTCACCCCCTGATGTCACCG